GAGCGCCGGCGCCCCGGTTCGGTGGCCTCTAGTGAGATCGGGAGGTGAGGCGGGCTGTGGCCACGAAGTGGGGCGGGGGCGGCGGGGAAGCGGGATTAGGGCTGTGTTGATGGCGGTTCTCGGGCTCCGCCTGGCCCTGGAAAGGGGCAACCGTCAGCCCCTGCGGACCTGGCGGGAGCTGCAGTGGCGCCTTTGCGGGTGCGGGGGGCCTGGTCCCTGGGAGGTGTAAGGAGACGCCCTTGAGGCGCGGCTGAGCGGCGGCCGCACCGATGCCAGGCGGGGTCTGGGGCCCGGCTGGGCCTGAGGGGCGGGCGGCGGGCTGGCTTCTTCGTGGCTGCCGTTACCATCGGTGGTCTGGCGGGGCGTAGCCGCGTTTGCCAGCCTAGTCCGAAGTAGTCGGTGTGGGCTACGCAGTCACTATCATCCGGGCGGAAAGGGTGCCAGGTCGGGTAACCCCGGAAGCCCCTCGATCCAAGAAATGCTGGGAGTGAGTGTGTGTGATGTGTCCCGCCGGCAGCTCGCGGAGAGGCCTCGAGAAGGACTATCTGGTGCAGGCGTTCACGCCCAGGCGCTGCTGTTCGTCAGCACCCTTCTTTAAAGTGCTGGGAAAGATTTCTGTAAATGCTGCCGACACAGAGCCATGGAAGAACCGTGCATCTGTAGAGATGTGTCTGGTCATTTACAGGAGCCACGAGTTGAGAGAATACGGAGCCCAATGTAGGGATTTGCCCAAGGACTTAAAGGATTCCTCCTTCTTTTTAAAGTTTATTTTGAAGGAGAGAGAGTGCGAGTGGGGTAGGGGCAGAGGGAGAGAGAGAGCGGGGAGAGAGAATCCCAGTCTTTGCCCTGTCAGCGCAGAGCCCGATGTGGGTCTGGAATTAACGAACCGTGAGATCATGACCTGAGTGGAAACCAAGGGATGGAAGCTTAACCGACTCAGCCACCCAGGCGCCCCAAGGATTCTTCTTTTTCTATTCACCTTTCCCCCCTCTTCTCCCTCCTCATTTTTCTTTTTCGTAAGGGGGTTGAGTCTCCTTGGTGCTCATGTAATTGAGTCCAAACCTTGTAGATTTTCTGGAATTATTTGGTTTGGATTAGGAATATAGGTTTCAATATAGAATAGGCAATTTCTGCGGTGAGAGACGGCTGATGTACTCCATCTTAAATGGTCATTTGAAATATTTCATGGCTTGGTTGAGGACATGCCACCTTGGACTTCGTCGTGAAAAGTTATAGGAAACATTTTTTTTCTGGGCCGTACTAAATAATCATGCATAATTTCAGCATCTCAATATGGAGGATGTATTTTTTGCGTGTGAGTATATTTTACTTTTCATGCAATGAAAGTCGTTTTCTGATTTAGAGGTAATCTAGCAAAAGCCTGTAGTGTACTTTGGAATCGACTGTTTTTTGAGGTCCCGCTTTGTTGTGTTTTTCTAGGATTTGTGATGAACTTGGCAGTAAGTACAAATGGAATTTAGTAACATGAAGGTTAAGAAACTGTGCAAAGATTAATCATTAATATATGAAAACTTGGGTGTGGCGTGAGCATTTCATGATGAAGTGTGTATGTGTGTGCACACCCTCTTTTTGTTCTTGTATGATCTCCTTTTTAAACAGTGGATGGATAACTACATGTGTATCAGTATCTATTTAGGTTTGACCCATATAAAATTGCAGATATTTGAAATTTGACTTTTTTTTAAACCTACACAAGTAGCAGTTTCAGATGGCTCCACATAATACTTGTGTTTGTTAAACAACTTTGGAGCTCTAGCTTAGTAACTGAATAGAGATGTGACTCATAAAAGCATGTAAGAGAGTTGAATGTAGAATCCTGGTTTCCTGATTTCCAGTACTATATATATATATATATATATATATACACATATATATGTGTATATATATATATATATACGCATATATATGTATATGTATATATGTGTATGTATATGTATATATATGTATGTATATATTTATTTATTTATTTACTAGAATACTAGTTTGAGCCGCAGAATGCTCAATCCTTTTGGAACTAAAAATGACTCAGTATAAGACATGGTTCTTGTCTTCAAAGAGTCAGAATGTACACAGCAGTTACTTTGAGAGCCGTGTAAGATGGTGTATAATCAGATGCTGGAATGTGTGGCACAGGAGGAGTGCAGGGTGGGAGGAAAGAATTAGAGTCAGAGGCCAAAGCATCCTTTTCTGCAGTTGGCGGTGGTAGGTGGTTTCTGTGGTGCATTGGATTGGAGTTTGATGATTCCATTGAATTTAAATGATCTCTTCTTTTGAAGAATCTGAAATGTTTGGGGAATACTTCATTGTGCATAGGCAAGGTATACATTGCCTATTTAACTGTTGTTTTTTTTTTTTTTAAGTAAAACTTATTTTTGTTGCTGCATGGCCTATATAGTGTCCATTGAATTCTCATGGGCTGTCCTGTAGCCTGCTTATGACACTTGCAACTGCTGATGAAGGTGGCATTTAACTACTTTGCATAATCACCAGGAAATGGGGAGGATGCCCGTGAGAAATGAGATGGTGTATAATTATATGGTTACTTTTGACACACCTTGTACATTTGATTACTGAGTTTGTATTTCCAAATAGGTGAGATTCTCTGTGTTTGGGGCTGGTTCACAGGATCATGTGTAATTTTTTCCCTGAGTGTTGCAAAGATGACTTTACCTAGGAAAGAAATGTCCCAGTATTGAAAATGCTACCATGAAATCTTTTTAAGGGACAACATGATGTACCTAATATATAATTGTGGCTTAATGATGCTAAACCAATTTGTGATCGAATTGGGGTGGTTTTCTGCTAGCAGCTCAGATTTTAATTCAACAGAATTAACTTTTTAATAGTGAAGGATACATTGACTTACTACGGAATAATCTAAGTTGAGAGTGTTTTGGCGGGGAGAGAGTGTTGGAAATTATTTTGACGTAGTGTTGAAATGTATTTTTAGTTGATTCATTTTCTGGAACATTGATGCTTGTTGATCCTTTAGACCAGCTTGCAGAGTTTTTTTTTTTTGCTAGAAGGATGTTATGTGATAGAAAACTGTCCTGAAAATCTAGGCTCTTAGAAGGCTTTTGGTGTAATGAAGTAGGATGCAAATCTGTGATTATTACTCTCCAGTGCTTTAAGTCCAAGTCCCTGCTCATTTAATAGAAACTCTTTTTGTTATTGTTCATTTTCAAAAGCAGTGTATAGACTATAGCCTCTCTTCCCTACTCCATTCCGCTTTCATATGTTCCCAGAATTCTCTGCTTCAGCCCTTAACTGGGGTGGCGGGGTGGGAGGGGGAGGGCTAGCAGGTGGGCAGTTATATCTGTACCTTGTTGACTTATATTCATTTTTAGGTCTATTTCAAGATGTGTCAATAAAATGCATGCTACTCTAGTTTATGAGTTTATTTTCAATTAAGCAGGTATTTGTTGAGCAACCGCTGTATGTGGATGCAAGGTGCTGGAGGATAAAATGCGGAACAAGACTCAGGGAGGAAGTTTGAAAAAGCATGAATAAACGCAGGCAGATGCATGCCGCATTTGTAGATCTTAGTGACTGCCAACCTTTTAAAAATGAGACCCTCAGGAAGACATGGGAAGCCACTACACACGCTCCTATATGTATAGTTTCATGAACCCTAAACTTTTAAGAGATAATACCTAACCCATGCTACATGTTTACCTACAGCTGTTTTTTCTATTTTATTAAAAAATGTTTGTTCTGATTCGCAAAACTGATTTCATGATTTAATTGATCCAATGAAAGGTGGTTGCCTGCAGTCAGAAAGCCAGCTGCCCAGCTGGTGGCTGGAGCAGCTGAAATGGAGAGAATATAGAGTGACACAGTGGGAGATGACATTCAGTAATTATTTTGGTTCCTGAAAACTACTCTTATTTTCTGTCCCTTAGTCCTTAAGGTAGCATATTTAACTTTCTTCTTATTCATTTGTTGCCGTTTAATTTACTGTCTTCAATAAATGAGTCATTTTCTTAGCTGTTACTGTAAACCTGAGATTCCTTTGAATTCTTGGCTAGTGTGTCAACCAGTAGCCTTACTTTAAAAATCTTAATTTGAAATAGATTTTTATGGGTAATGAAATACGCTTTATTGTAAGCATTAATTTTAGTCTAAGATGTTTTACAAGTTCCTGTATTGGAGACCAGTGACTATCAGATTTTTTAAAAATCACAGTATCGGAATGAACAGAGTTGGCCAGCAAGCATGGGGAAGTTTAGTCATGGTATTCGTTAGATCAGAATTACCTGTATGTTCTATTGGGAATTTTTGAATGTTACAGACATCTACTTTGGCCAGCCATCCTCTTCTTCTGTTACTGTTCTAGCATTTTATTAGCTGTAAAAATGGAAAAAGACTTTTTCTGGTGACAGCAACAGTAGGAAGTTTTATTAAACATCATTTTTGCCACTAACAGTATGCCATGTTTTGAATGGAATGGAAGACTGTAATGGTTCTCTGCCTTCGAGGACAGGCAACAAGTAGATTGGTATTTGCCTCTTGTGTAATTGGAATACGGAGAATGAAGAGGGTGCTAATGCGCATTTTATGTCAGGGAAATTAGAAAACGAATGTGAACAGTTGTTTTTCAGTTTTTTTTTTTTCTGTCTCATTGCTCTCCTCCTTAGCTCAGATAATATTGTGGCCTGAGATATTTATTTGGTTTCCTCATAAAAGCTTGAATTCTACAAATTGTAAGAAATAGCTGTTTTTAAGTTGGTTGCTAATAGAAGAATCTTTAAGTGTTATGAGTAAAAAAGTAATATCAAAGTCCTCATTTTAATTTTATAATTATTTTCCAGCATTAATAAGGAACACTATCAAATAGTATTATTCATATGTATAAGACAGTGTGCCTCCAAAAGCAGAGTTTACAATGCAGAATCTTCTTTTCCTAAAAATACAGTGAAATGTGTACTAAGTGTTCACACTTGATATTCCTTCCAGGATCCAAGGATTCTGTAGCTACAATGTTGTCAAGACTTTTCCGAATGCATGGCCTTTTTGTGGCCTCCCATCCCTGGGAAGTCATAGTGGGGACGGTGACACTGACCATCTGTATGATGTCCATGAACATGTTTACTGGTAACGATAAGATCTGTGGTTGGAATTATGAGTGTCCCAAGTTTGAAGAGGTTTGTGAAATTAATTTGATACTGACTAAATTACACTTTCAGTTTCTAAAGAGCATTTCCTCTTAAGAGATCATATAATCAAAAAAGTTCCAAGTAAAATTTTTATCTTAGTGTTCATGAACTTATCTCAAATTTCCATTTACTTACAGTGTTTGGAAACACACTGGAAATAACCTTTCTTCATGCCTTTTCTGCATAAAATGAGTGTAATTGACTTTACTTGAGAAAATAATAGCTTAAAGTGATTAACGGAGAAAAATGATGGGCTTTAAACAGTGGATTGTTGAAAAACTGTATTTAATTTTTGATATACATATTTAATATTTTTTATTTGACTTGTATTGTGCCTGTATTTATATTATTGTGACAAATATATAAACTAATGATGCATACAAAATAAAAATTCTTACATATCGTTGCTTGTTTTAAAAAGTAAAACTATTGGGATTTTTTTTTCTTGTGTCTTCCAACAGGATGTTTTAAGCAGTGACATCATAATTCTGACGATAACACGATGCATAGCGATCCTGTATATTTACTTCCAGTTCCAGAATTTACGTCAACTTGGATCAAAATATATTTTGGGTAATCATTTTATACATTCAACTTCTTTATGCTATCAAATTTTTGTTTTGCTATAGAAATACATATTTTTGTTCAAATCCTGTATATGGAAACCTGTATATTGCTTAAAGTGCTGCTGCATAAATTCAGTGGTTTCCTTATTGGGAATAAATATTCTGATAGTTGAGATCTTAATAATCTGGAGAATATAATATTTCTTTCAGAATATTGTATGGGATTATGTTATTTTTATAATAAAGGATGATTTTTTTCTCAGTTTGAGTTTTGTCATTTTAGGTATTGCTGGCCTCTTCACGATTTTCTCAAGTTTCGTATTCAGTACGGTTGTCATTCATTTCTTGGATAAAGAATTGACAGGCTTGAAGTAAGTATTTAAAGCATAAATATACTTTTTTTTCCAAGAAACAATGTTAACAATTTTTCTTCTCCAAGTTATAAAGTATTATATACATTTTCAAAAATTTATAGAAAATATGGGGAAAATTTTCATGTAGTCATTTAGCTAATGATAACACCTTTTGGTATTTATCCTTTCCTACCTGTTTTTACACTTATACAAAAATTCTGAGATTACACTGTATATATTGCTTTGTAACTTCTTTATGCCTAATGATAGTTTATCAACATCTTTGCTTGCCCTTAGTGCTAAACTAAATTATTTCTGAGGAGTTTCTCGTATCCCCCTATGTGAATATATTGTAGGTCATTTACTAAACCCTCTAGGATTCGATTCTTAGTTTATTTAATTTCCTCTATTAATAACACTATGGTGAATGTCTTTGTGGATAAATTTGTGTTCATATTTATTTTCAGAATATATTCCTAGGTGTGAGACAGTGGCTGTGTAAATTTTTAGGGCTTTTGAGTGCTGTTATTGCCAACTTTCTCTCCAGAAAGCTTGTTAAGTTTATCCTCCCACAAGTAGTGACCAAGTAAAAGAAATTACATGCATTTCACTTCTTTTCCCCATGTGAATTCAAGGAAACATTTTTTACCTAGGATGTTATTTTGCTATAAAATTATCAAAAGGTGTTTCTATGAAAATATATTGACATTTTTAACTTTACAAATAGTTTTTAATTTTGTTTGTTTATTTATTTTGAGAGAGATGGGGGGGGGTGGGGAGACAGAGAGAGAAGGAGAGAGAATCCCAAGCAGGCTATGTACTGTCAGCACAGAGCCTGATGTGAGGTTTGATCCCACAAACTGAGAGATCATGACCTGAGCAGAAAGCAAGACTTGGATGCTTAACCAAATGAGCCACCCAGGCACCTCAGCGTTACAAATAGTTTTAACAAATATTTTTGAGCAGTGAGTATGTTTAGCTTTGAGGATGTCACAGGGGAGTGAGTATAAGGTATACCTTATGGACTACAAAAAGGTACCTATACTAAAGAATCATACAGTGTATGGGGCAGGGGTTTTGTCTTAGAAAGCATTTTTAAGCTACATTTTTTCATCTGATGAATGTACTTGATCATCTTGATTTTTTTGCAGTGAAGCTTTGCCCTTTTTCCTACTTTTGATTGACCTTTCCAGAGCAAGTGCACTAGCAAAGTTTGCCCTCAGTTCCAACTCACAGGTAAGTATTATTTTTAAGACACAGATGTCAACATTGTTCTTTTTTTCAGTTTGTTTACATTATTAGGGCAGATTAATAGCTTCTTCACAGTTGAAGATTCACGAATTGCCCACAGTTTTAATTGTCAGGTCTTAAGACTGGTCTTTTTGGGTACCTAATAACTCAGTTATAATTGCATAGCTTCTGGAATTTGGGATCTCCATTTTCCTATTTGAAGATTTCAGAAATTAAGGTAATAAGACTTTTGGATAAGTAAGAGTGTTCCCCAGTGAAACCTATCAGAGAATAGGACAGGATGTAATAGAAGAGAGTCTGAGGGTAGATTGATTTCTAAAATTTTGGCATTACCACTTGCATTTTTTTCCATCTAAAGTTTTATCTTGGTGTTCATTAGTCACTGTAAAGAACCTAACATTTTCAGTAATCTTGCATCAGAGTATCTGAGTATAAAGTAGCTTGCCATTCTGCCTTGATTATGTATTTGATAACTGTCTCGAATACTTGAACATGTTGACAAGAGTATGATTTAGGTTTCATAGTATTAAGGTCTTAAAAAATTTGCAATTAAGAACTGTCAGTTGTAGCCAATATAAAATGTTGTAGTGTTTCATTATGTGGTATTTAGATGGCAGGATTGACGCACCACCTCAAAGGAATCCTCCCAAGAAGTATCTCACTCGGTGGAAAGGGAAAGCAGGGCCCTGGATATGACTTTTTTTAATCCTTTGCACCTGCAATGCCTGTTAGTGGTATTATATTGTTTATTTTACTCTTTGTATAGCACATTCGCTTTTAACAGAGGCCTTAGGATGCTCTCTGACTTTTTCCAAAGTTATTTTGAACCTTACCCTCATTGATATGTACGGTCTGTGTTTTAGGATGAAGTGCGGGAAAATATCGCTCGTGGAATGGCAATTTTAGGTCCCACGTTCACCCTTGATGCCCTTGTAGAATGTCTTGTGATTGGAGTTGGAACCATGTCAGGTTTGTAAGAGATTTTTAATGTTTTTTAAACTAAGTTTGTAGATGAAGGGAAAAAAGAACGTCTGAGATTACATTGGTTATTCTTTTTTCTTAAAAAATTTTTTTTTGTTGTTTATTTTGAGAGAGAGAGAGAGAGAGAAAGTATGTGCACGCAAGTGGTGGAGGGTTAGAGAGAGAAGGGAGAGAGAATCCCAAGCAGGCTCTGAGTTGTCAGTGCAGAGCTCAACTTGGTGCTTGATCCCATGAACCATGAGATCATGACCTGAGCTGAATCCAAGAGTCGGAACTTAACGGACTGAGCCAGCCAGGTATCCCTGCATTGGTTATTCTTAAGTTCTGACTTTTAAAAGTGTAACATTCTTAAAAGGTTTTAACTGAATGAATGTGTGGATTTATCTGACCTTAATGTCTGACTGCTTTTGTGAAAACTTAGTAGCAGGTTAGTGATACTTAGTTTTCACGATTGCTACCTTCTGTTTCTGTACTCCACCCTTTTGCTGATTTTGTGTTTATTTTTTTGCTTAGTTTTTAATCAAGATTGTATTCTACGCTTCATCTTAGCCAAAAGGCCGAGAACCAATAACCAAGATTGTATTCTAAGGCTCATCTGGGGCACCTTCCAGTGCACCTGCCCAGACTAAGTTAGTGATTTGGTTCCTTGTGGGTTTTGTTTTTGTTGGTTTTTTGTTTTTTGTTTTTTTGGTTCTTTGTGTTTTTATTGTCCTGTAGGAGACAGTGCAAGCGTCAGAAGTGGGCCAGATGTAAGTTAGGTCCACCTAATAGGCTGGTTGGCAAGATTTAATCAGATGGTATGCAGTACATCTTACCGAGTACCTAGCATTGATCTCAACACGTTTCTTAATCCTTAATTAGATAGTAGAGAATTAGATGTTAAATATCAAACACAGGACGGAAGTTGTGGCCTGGCCTGGCCTGGAAATTTGCCAGAGTGAATATATCATGCTGTTGTTGTGAAGATTTCCTAATCATTAAAACTAGACTTTATGGCTTCCTCAGGGAACTACCCTTAGTAATGACAGTTGCAGCCTATTTCCTGGTGCCTGAGTGCCCTGGATAAGGGGCTTCATTCTTCACAGGTAAATTATCTAGCTTTTATGAACACAGTTGGTTGTCGTTACTTTTTTAGTCGAGGGCTCATCACTTGGTAGTATGTTAAATACATGTTTCTTCTTTCTGAGGGTAAATTTATTATTTATTGTTTTTTAATCTGTCATTCAACATTTAGCAAGGAAGGTATTTTTAAAAAATATTTTTTATTTGTTTAAAAAAAATGTTTTTAATGTTTATTTTTATTTTTGAGAGAGACAGAGTGCGAGTGGGGGAGAGGCAGAGAGAGAGAGGGAGACACAGAACCCGAAGTGGGCTTCAGGTTCTGAGCTGTCAGCACAGAGCCCAATGCGGGCCTGAACCCACAAGCCACGAGATCAACATCTGACTCTGGCTCAGGTCATGATCTCGCACCTTGTGGGTTTAGGCCCTGCGTTGGGCTCTGTGCTGACAGCTCAGAGCCGGGAGCCTTCTTTGGATTCTGTGTCTCCATCTCTCTGCTTCTCCTCTGCTCACACTCTGTCTCTCTCTAAAATAAATAAACAATAAAAACATTTTTTTAAAATAAAACAAAAAAGTACTTAAAAATACAATATGTGTTTTTGTTCTATTATTTAGTCATATGATCTGTTTAGAATTCAAAAATAGACTGTTGAGTTTTTTGTTATTCTAGTTAGCAGTTTTATAGGAAGAGGGAATGATTTTTTTATTTACATTTCAAAACATTTTTATATTTAATATGAGTGACATCAGAAATATGTGTTATATTCAAGTTTATTTGTAAAGTGAGGGACTAGGATTTGGTAATCCAAGGTATTTTTCAGCTCTATAATTCTGCTAACCTTCTGTTTGGGACATATACCACGTGATACCTTAAACATTTTGTAATGGAACATTTGTTAATTTTGGATCTTGAGTTGCCTTTTTGCATTATTTAATTTTTCAAACAGATCCATGAAATTCCTCAAAATTATAAGAACAGCAATAGCCACGATAGAGGTTGTACTGAAATTAGAGTTCCATTTAGTGCACATAAAGTATTTATTATGATACTGAATCGGGAATGGCATAACTGGCAGTATGTTTTACTTTAATCAAAAGTAAATCAAAAGTAAATCCACAGGTGAATTGCTTTTCTGGCAAAGAGTGGAATTGGATCCAGACTGTGGGAGGTTGACTCATCAGAGTAGCCTGTCCTTGTTAATCCCTATTTCAAAACTGATTGCTACCATTTGATAAAAGGGGATTATCATATGTAAATTAAATACAATGACTGTGCCTGGCATTGTGGTGTTGGAGACCTGGGAGGAGACAAGTTCTTTTCCTGAGAGGGAGTTATTCCTGTTCTAATGCTTGGTATCACCTTGGAGTTCCTCATTTCTTTTTCCAGTAGATAGGAAAGAGTTTAATATGCTAATGTTTTCTTGTATTTGTCTACCTAGAGGAAAGGTCCCTGTGATGTATGTAGCATCAAAAATATAGGTACTTTACTAATTATACATTTAATTTTTCTCTAACCAGGGGTGCGTCAACTTGAGATTATGTGCTGCTTTGGCTGCATGTCAGTTCTTGCCAACTACTTTGTGTTCATGACTTTCTTCCCAGCTTGCGTTTCCTTGGTTTTAGAGGTAAGAGCTGTTCTTACGGCATTAGTAGAAGAGTAACGTTTCTCATCAAATCTGTTCACTTAAATAAAATCAGTACCTTCTAATGTAACACTGGTTTACTTTGTAGCTTTCTCGGGAAAGCCGTGAGGGTCGTCCGATTTGGCAGCTGAGCCATTTTGCTCGAGTTTTAGAAGAAGAAGAAAATAAGCCAAATCCTGTTACTCAGAGAGTTAAGATGATTATGGTAATTTCATAGTTTTCTTTTCCCTTCTGTATTTTCAGTTCCAGTGTTCCATATGTTCTGTTCATATGTTCTGCTTTTTGATTTTTTTTCTCCTTCCTGTTATCTTTCTACATTTTTTGTCTCTTTCATTGATGTTCCTCTTTCTTTTTTTTCCTTGTCTCTCATTTCTTTGAGGCTCCTAGTGTCTCTCCCCTAAACAGATGTTTCAAATTCCTTTGCTTTATTTCTCTTTGCAAACCTGTTTTTTTGCAACGTTTTCAGTAGTTTAGTAGGCCACTGCTTTAGTCCCAGAGCAAGTGCAGGGCTTTCTTTTCATGCTGAGGGGAGACCATGAAAGATGGTGCTTGGCTATCCAGTTGCTAAGGATGAGAAGTTTAGGTGGCATTGATATGCAGAGGATATTATAATTTATAACATTTTATTTCAGTCTCTAGGCTTGGTTCTTGTTCATGCGCACAGTCGCTGGATAGCTGATCCTTCGCCTCAAAACAGTACGGCAGAAAACTCTAAGGTTTCTTTAGGATTGGATGAAAGTGTGTCCAAGAGAATTGAACCAAGTGTTTCCCTCTGGCAGTTTTATCTCTCTAAGTAAGTTACCTGAGACCTGCTTTGTTGTGTATTAATCATAGTAGTCTGGTTACTAAAAGTTTAGGTTGTACCATTTTAATTTCTGAGTAATAACTTTTTAATTTCCTTTCTTTTATTTAGAATGATCAGCATGGATATTGAACAAGTTATTACCCTTAGTTTAGCTCTCCTTCTGGCTGTCAAGTACATCTTCTTTGAACAAGCTGAGACAGAATCTACACTCTCATTAAAAAACCCTATCACATCTCCTGTAGTGACCCCCAAAAAAGTCCCAGATGATTGTTGTAGACGTGAACCTGTACTGGTCAGAAATAGCCAGAAATTCCATGCAGTGGAGGAAGAGACCAGGATAAACAGAGAAAGAAAAGGTGATTTCTTGTTCTCTTTATTTTCCATTTTTCCAATACTGATTTGTTCAGAAGCTGAGTTCGTTTTAAAATGTATGTTCACTATTGTGAGATTTCGTTTGGTTTCTTGAACAGTTGAGGTCATAAAACCTTTAGTGGCAGAAACTGACACCTCCAGCAGAGCTACATTTGTGGTTGGTAACTCTTCCTTACTTGATACTTCACTGGAACTAGAGGCACAGGAACCTGACATTGAACTTCCCATCGAGCCTCGGCCTAATGAAGAATGTCTACAGATACTTGGGAATGCAGAGGTGAGGAAAATAAAGTTAAATCAAGCTTTGTATCTTTTTGCTTTTTTTTAAGAAAGGAAGGAAGGAAGTTCTTGCTACTGAGTACTTAAGTTCTGGGCACCGTGTTACGTGGTTTGCAGGTAGTGGTCTTTTTTATTCCCCACAACTTTGTGAGATAGATGGAATTACCTCCATTTTTCAGATGAGAATGAGAAAGAGAAAGCTGAGGCTCCAGGAGGCGTATTTCCCAAAGTAATACATTATTTAGGAAATGGAAAAGCAGAGATCAAGAGTCCAAGATTTACTGACTCAAGAGACAGTGCTCTTTACCCTTTACTACCGTTTGCCAGAGAGATGAGCCACTACTCTATTCTCATGTGTGTTGGGGCCTAGAAAAGGTTTCATTCAAAAACGAGCTTCAAAGACAGAAGAAAAGTTTTTTGTTTTGTTTTCTTTTTGGTTTGCTTTTTAATAAGCTTCATGCTCACCAGATGCTTGTTTTCCTTTCTGACTCTGAGGGGGTATTCTGCCTACACGGCCGTAGGAGTTAATTCATGCTTTAGTGTGACTTTGTGTTCCATCCATATCTGCTTAATCATTCCTAATTTATGTGCACATGAGTGAGAGTAGCATCATGTTTGTTTTTCTTTCACTTTCCCTCATTGCTATTAACATGTGTGCCGATTTTTCAACTGTTTTGCTGTATACAGAGTTACCAAAACTTAGAGGGTGGCCATCAGAATCTTAATTGTGGTTTTGTTTTGTTTTTCTATGAACTTCCCTTGCAAAATTTGGTGTTTTGGTTTTACATTTGTTTAGGGCCACATTTTTGTAGAGAATTTGCTTTCATTTTGATATTCTTATTTCCATTCAAATCATCTTTAGAACTCCAAAGTTCTTTGGGTTCTCCTTTACTGAGCATTGTTTGTATTAAATGGTGTATTTGTTATGAAGAATACGAAGTGTGCTTCAAATTTTTTGTCATCCCCCTCCCACAACTCCCTCCCATTTTTTTTTTTCATTTCTTTAGAAAGGTGCAAAATTCCTTAGTGATGCTGAGATCATCCAATTAGTTAATGCTAAGCATATCCCAGCTTACAAGTTGGAAACTCTGATGGAAACCCATGAACGAGGTGTATCTATTCGCCGACAGTTACTGTCCAGAAAACTTCCAGAGCCTTCTTCTCTCCAGTATCTACCTTACAGGAACTATAATTACTCCTTGGTATGTTTTCTTGATTTGAGAAAGTTTGCTTTTGTAGCTTTTTAGTCTTGTAGCTTTAGTCTTCAGCTTTTTAGTCTTTTCTTTTTTTGTTTTTTAATTTTTTTTTTAATGTTTATTTCTGAGAGAGGGAGAGAGAGCACAAGCAGGGGAGGGGCAGAGAGAGAGGGAGACAGAATTGGAAACGGGCTCCAGGCTCTGGGCTGTCAGCACAGAGCCCGACGCAGGGCTCGAACTCACAAACCGTGAGATCATGACCTGAGCCAAAGTCGGACGCTTAACCAACTGAGCCACCCAGGCGCCCCTAGTCTTTTTCTTGACTAGTCTTTTGTATGTACATAATTTTATAAAACATTTGTTTAATCACTTCACTGTAATTTTGTATTCTGCTTATGATTATAGGTCCTAGAAACTCAAAATATTTTTCCTGTTGTTTATAGTCATTGTCAATGACTTTTGTACTTTTAAATACTTACAAGGAGTAGATAAAAATGTTGAAAAATAAAGGGTTATGTTTGAAAACAGTTTTGGATGAGAAGGGCTGTGTATTTGTGATAGCAATTTTCACTCAGTACCTGACTTCCCCTTTTAGGTGATGGGAACTTGTTGTGAGAATGTTATTGGATATATGCCCATCCCTGTTGGGGTGGCAGGACCTCTGTGCTTGGATGGAAAAGAATACCAGGTGCCGATGGCGACAACAGAAGGTTGTCTTGTGGCCAGCACTAACAGAGGCTGCAGAGCAATAGGTGTAAGTAGGCATTTCTGTATTTGCCTGTTTTAAGATATGCACTAGGCCAGGCAATGAGAAGAGATCTGGGGCCATGCAGAAGTGTTTTCAGGATTAACGTGCTTCCGTAACGTCCTCTGCATAGCTTGGTGGAGGTGCCAGCAGCCGAATCCTTGCAGATGGGATGACCCGTGGCCCAGTGGTGCGTCTCCCCCGTGCTTGTGACTCCGCAGAGGTGAAGGCCTGGCTGGAGACACCTGAAGGGTTCACAGTGATAAAGGAGGCTTTTGACAGTACCAGCAGGTGTGTGTGGGGTTTGTATATGCATTTATGTTTATTTCAGAGCTGGTGTCGTCATCTGTGATCGCTAAACATAACTGTCGACATACTGCCTGCTTCGGGTGACATACCAAAATCTGAACTTTAAGTCCATTTATTCAAAATGAGTAATATTTATCCTTGGGGCAGAATGTTGGTCCAAATGAATACCTCCAGAGGAGTAAATAGGGAAAAATAGTATGATCTAGTAAGTTTGTGTGTTGGTTTTATAAGACTCAGGTTTTGTTTTTTGGGTTTTTGGTTTATTTAGTTTTTTGTTTTTTTTTGTTTTTTTGATGTGTATTCATTTTTGAGAGAGAGAGAGACAGAGGGTGAGTCATTTTTGACAGAGAGAGAGAGAGACAGACAGACAGAGGGTGAGCAGGGGAGGGGCAGAAAGAGAGGGAGACACAGAGTCCAAAGCAGGCTCCAGACTCTGACCTGTCAGCACAGGGCCTGATG